ACTATACAAAGTGACTATCAGTTACTTTTTACCAAGTGGTTAGAGCTGCGCACTTGTGCTCTAAGAAAGTTTCAAGTACCCGGTTCAATCCCTACATCCTGCACTCTGGGTCCCTGAGCAAGAACCTAACCCCCAATTGCTCCCCATGCACCACACAGTGGCAGCCCACTGCTCCCCAAGGGGGTGGCTTAAGATACAGAAGTGAATTTGTCCAGTGTGAGATCAATGATGTTCAATTGTTATTATTTTATGATCTAGTGAAGGGGTGGGCTACTCTAGTCGTCACCGAAAGGTTTTCTCCAACTGTTAGATCTGTCCTTGCTCCACCACACCTGAATCAAGTGGCTTAATTACCTCCTCAGTGTGCAGTTCCTTTCTCCAGAGTCCTCTTAATCCTTTAATTACTTAATTCAGGTGTGTTGACCAATGACATATCTAAAGGTTCCTCAAGGACTGAAATTGGCCACCTCTGATCTAGATAGTTTGATAGGTAATGGACATCTCAAGGCACATTGGAACCAATGGCCATAATGATCTCTTTTATTACCACACTTGCCTGTGAGGTATAGGATGTTCAAAAAACCATGTCCGAATATTTACTTGGTTTCAGACCACTTTTGGTTAACCTTTTAAAATTCACATCATCAGACCAGCAGCGTTACCCAAACAGGTGGCAATGATGATCTAAAAAGGTTGTGGACACCCATTTCGGATATAAATTCCAAGCGTCTGACCTGAAGGTTATTGTTGTCTGTTTTAAGCAGAACCTGCAGGTGATGGAAGCCATCAGGTTGAAGTAGCGCTTTGTTGTCCTTGCAAACTCCTGAAACAGATGACATGTATTGGTTGGCCATGAAGACTGTGGCCTCAGTGGTTGTGTGAGAAGGAAGATGCTCCTAGCTGAATTTGCATCATACTGAGATTAAAATGGCCGCCTGGTTCCATCATTTTCATTCCTCTCTCAAAAGACATTTGCATTGGAAGTGAAGTCCAGAACCATATAAACCAAATGTACTTGTCTTTAGGTTAAATCAGGTTATATGGGGTTTTGAAAGAGAACCTTTGTAGAACCTTTTCATCAGGGAACGCTGCTTTCAGCACATCCTGAGGATCACTTCACATGATTGCTTTAGATAAAACAGCCATTTGTGGAAAGTTTTCATTCAGTTCAGAGTTTTAAGAACACTATATTAAATAGAAGGAAGGACATTATTACTCTCTAAAATGGTTAAATATATGCGTGGGTTTTTATTT